GTGACTAATACTCTACTGTATGACTGGAACACATTGTGTTTATCTGTTCTCTGTTGCAGACACTTGAATGGATTCCATCTTTTGGCCATTGAAATCATGCTGCTGTCATCGTGTGTGTGTGTGTGTGTGTGTGTGTGTGTGTGTGTATGTTTGACTACTAGATTTTAGAGTAATGTCAATTTGGTGCCCATGTTTAAAATCTAGGGAACCATCGCATAAAGATCAAGATTCCTAGTCTCTCTATGAACATCTTGGGTCCACCCATAGGTCCCCACCACAGACCCCCCCCCCACAAGCAGGGGACTGTGTGTAAAGGTCACCTCCCCACTCCCAGCCCAGCCCTCTTGAGCATTTCGGCTGCGCTCCTCCCTTAAGTGTTCTCTCAGCTTCTTCATGCCTGTGGTAGCAGCAGGCTGGGCGCCTCTGTGTGGTGCTAGAGATGTTTAGTTGAACTTGCACTTAGTGCTCCTTCCAGTCTTGGTCATTCATTCAACAAATATTTACCGAGTTCCTATCAAGTGCCATACACAGTGCTGGACGCATTGGTGACCAAAGCAGCAACCCCACCCTGGTAGATGTAGTGTTCTGGAGGGGCTGGCAAACAGGAGGGAACCGAGTAAACGAGGAAGCAAAAAGTGCTAAGGGAAAAGAGGCAGAACAGGGTAGAGGGTTGGGGAAAATGTGCTTGCATGAGCCTCTGGGGAAGGTGGGGTCTGAGCAGGTTAAGAGAGGACCAAGGAAGCCTCCAGGGGAGGAGCATTCCAGGCAGAGGGCCACAGTATGTGTAAAAGTCCTGGTGTGGGGACCACCCTAGTGGCGCAAGGGGCTGAGCACAGCACTTTGAAGCTAACCTCAGCCTCTGCAGCACCAGGTGGCCCACATGGTGCAGCAGACCTCTCCTGTCTCACTCCCTACTCCCCTCAGCAGTGTGTTTCCGTCGATCCACCTGTTCTGTTCCCCACTCTGTCTCTGGTGACTCTTCTCATCCCCCCCACCTCTGGCCTGTACCCCAGTTCTTGTATGCATAAACAAATCTTAAAAAAAGTCCTGGGGCCTCCCTGGTGGCACAGGCGGTTGAGCGCTGCACTGTGAAGCTATCCGCAGCCTCTGCAGTGAGGGTTCGATCCCTGCTGGCCACAGAGATACCCACATGGCGCGGCAGACCTCTCCTGTCTCACCCGCTGCTCCCCTCAGCAGTGTCTTCGGTCCGTCTGCTGTTCTGGTCCCCGCTCTGTCTCTGGTGAATCTCTCACCCTCCCACGCATCTGGTCTGTACCCAGGTTCTTGTATAAAAATAAATCTTTAAATGGGCCTCCCCAGTGGCGCAGCGGTTGAGCGCTGGGTTGCGAAGCTGCTCGCGGCCTCTGCAGCGCCGGTTCGATCCCCGGATGCTCCCCGGCCACCAGAGGAGGGTCCCACATGGCGTGCAGACCTCTCCTGCCGCCCGCTGCTCCCCTCAACAGTGTACTTCGATCCTTCTGCCTGCTCTGCTCCCCGCTCTAGCTCTGGTGAATCCTCTCACCCTCCCGCGCTTCTGACTGTACTCAGTGCGTGCATAAACAAAACAAACAAACAAACAAACAAATAAATAAAAACATGCCTCTATAAAAAAAAAAAATTCTTTAAAAAAAAAAATAAATAAATCTTTAAAAAAAAAGAAGTCCTGGGTGTGTTGGAGAAACAGGAGAGAGGCCCAAGTGGCTGCAGCAGAGTGAGGAGGTGAGGGGGTGAGGAAGCAGAGAGGGAATGGAGAGGAGGAGGGCCAGGGCCTTGTGAGGCGGAGAAGCAGTGGGCTTCAGCCCCAGATGGGGGTTAAAGGTGGGGATCTGGGGCTCAGGAAAGGCAGGACTGTGCTCGGTTGCTCACGCTCGGTTGCTCACACGCGCCCCCTAGCGGCCTCCTCGGGGAGGAGCCTGAGGCCTGGGTGGAGGGGACTGTGCTGGTCCAGTTGAGCGATAATGGGGTCCAGTCCCAGTGGAGGCAGAAGCGGGAAGTAGCCGGATTCTGGACATGTGCCGAAGGTAAAACCCCAGGGAGGTTTCTGGATCGACTGGACGTGGCGGCGATGAGACAGAAGGTAATCAAGGCTCACGCCGCGGGCCAGGGCAGCCTAGGGGAGTGGGAACACCCCGGCTTTGGAGCTGGCACAGGTCCTGCTGGTGTCGGTCCCGACGATATCACTGGCCATGCAGGTGTGGGGTGGAGGGGCGATGTGGAAGATGGGGAGCTAAGCCTGAGGGCGAAGGGGTCCTGGCACTCCCAGCAATCAGGAGGGGACACCCTTGTAGTGTTTCCAGGGCACATGTCCCACCTAGAACTTTGCCCAAAGGGGCAGAGAACCTGACCATAGCTGGGGGCCGGGGGGAACAGGGACCCCAAGGACAGTAGAAAGGGCAAATAGGTGGAGCAAGAGCGAGGTGAGTGCAGACCCCACTCCCCACCTCTCCTCATCCCAGGGTGGGCATGACCTTGGGGCTGAGAAAGCAGGGCCCTAGAAGATGAGGTGCACTGCAATACTTGGGGCAGCCACCAGATCGGGGGGTGGTCATCACTTTGGGGGGGTTTGGAAACTGGGGAAGCCCCTAGGGAGTGTCTATGCTTCTTCCACCCAGGCTCTGGAGAACTCTGCAATCAGAGATGTCGACTTTGTAAAGCTCCCAGAGCAGCTGAGGTCCCCCTACCATGTCCCCTTACAACTGCAGGCTGGTATACAGTAGGCATACAGTAAGAGCTGGACTACTGGCCACAGGAACCAGATGGGGCTGGAATGGCTGGGTCAGGGGCTGCAGGGCGCCTCAGGGAGGATCCTGATCACACCCTGTAGTTCCCCCAGTGGGGGTCACTAGGCAGAAGCCTAAAGAGCTTGTCATGGGCCTAGGTTGCCGGCTCAGGAAGCAGGGGAGGCGCAGATGTCAGGGTGACAGTGGGCAGCAGAGTGCACTGCTGCAGGCAGCCACCGCCTCAAACCCTGCTTATTTTCTGCCTGAGGACTGGCCAAGACCCCGGATTCCCTAGCCCACTGCCTCAGTTTCTCCAGGAGGCTGGTGACCTGGGGATACACAGGTGAGCACGACGGAGGGGGCCCCTCTGGCTGAGGTCAGCAACGGGAAATACCACAGACGCTAGAGTCAGGTTTAAAAAAGGGCTTGTTTAATTAAATACAAGGTTGAGGCCAGGCAGGGCGGGGGAAGGAGGGCACCACCTGAAAGCACAGGTCCCTCATGCACCCCTCTTTTGAGGCCACAGCTAGAACCAGCAATGACCACTCAGAACTAGAAGGGCACAAGTTTCTTCAGGTCCCGGGACAGGGCCCGGGTACGCAGCCCCACCCTCCCGCAGGTCAGGCACAGGTCAGGGCTGGGTGATTGAGGGGCTAGCAGACAGACACGAAGGAACAGGGGCCCCTGCACGCCACCCATCTCCATGGACTAAGGCACCTCACCAACACTGGAGAGGAGGGTCTGAGGGTGCAGACCAACAGGCCCCACGAGGCCATGCCCAGACACCCACCCCAGCCTAGCTCCAAAAGGAATCCATCCCCCCCAGAACCCCAGGCACCCATCCCTGGATCCTGCCAGGTGGGGTCTGGGTCTAAGCCAGTGCCATCCAAGCTCCCCAGTCCCCAACTGGGAGACAGGAGGGTTCTGGAACAAACGGGGGTACCAAAAATCTCCTGCAGTCAATGGTGGGGGGATAGGTGTCTTTCAGGGTCTGGGAACAGGGAGCCTGGGCCCCCTCCCATTCCAGGGGGGAGCCTCGGTCTCTCCGTCCAAATGGATATCGAACCCAAGCCTCATTGGGAGAAAGCAGAAGGGCATAGCATGTATCCCCCCACCCCCAAGTTCAGATCATGGAGACCCCCCCACACACACCCCTGAGGACAGGGATCCAACCCAGGGGCTGGATCAGTAAAAGAATTGGCGCCTGAAAAAATACTCTACGCGGTCCAAAAAGCAAGCTATCGGGGCTCGGGAGCAAGCCCTCCGCCTCGGGCACGGCGGGACCTCCGACTGGCCCGGACACCAGGAAGCGGGGATGTCAGGGGAAAGAGGGGGATCAGGACAGAGCTGGCACACCCAGCTATGGGGGCAGGGGGGCTGATTGTCATGTGATGCTGTCCAAGGCGAAAGTTGGGGACCCTACCCCCGGGGAGCTGGCCCGTGAGCCAACCTCCCCGCAGTCGTCTCTCACTCACACACACTCACAAGCCGGAGGGGCAGCGCGGCCCCCCATACCAGCAGGGACAGAGGAAAATAAATAAGCCAACATTCATTCCCATCTCGTGATACCACCCCCCCACCCACCAAAGTGAGTCAAAATGCTCTTTGGAAGAACCCCGGTTTCTCTCCTCTGTACCCCAAGCTTCAAAACCAAAACCTGGATCCCGACAGACACCTACCACCCCCACCCCGCCCCGCGCCCCGGCAAGGGAGCAGGGCAGCCCCCTGTGGGCAGCGGGGTGGAACTCGTGGACACCTGAGATTGAGTACCCGAGTGGGGGCGCCCAGGCCCCGATTCCCTGAACGTCCCCAATGGCTTTCAGTGGGGCGAGGGGCCCCGGGCTGGGTGGGGAGTGGGCACAGGGTCGCCCCTGGTTCATCTATGGCTCTTTGCACACTTCATTCCAACCTGGAGGCAGAGGCCTGAGCAAGGCGCCTTTTCTGGGGCCAACGTCCCACTTCCTAAAGTGGGGTGATCGCCAAGGGGATGGGGAGCGCCTGCTGGCCACCCATGGGGGGACCCTGTTCAATAGATGGGAAGAGTGGACGGTCATGGGTCATGGCTATTTACAGACGTGAGCCCCAGTCCCATGCGGCGCGCCGGGTCCAGTCTCAGGCCCCCGCTCGCTTTCTCGCAGGGCAGGGTCATCTTCAGGGCCCTCGGGGGGCAGGCTGGCGGGGCCCAGGCTTGCTGTCAGCGCGAGCCTCGCCTGGGCCCTGGACAGCAGGCGTGTGGCTGGTGCTCCGTGCCCCTGTCCAGCGGGGGATGGGGTGGGGGCGCTGGGGGGGGCGGGGCTGACACAGGGCCCTACAGACCAGCGGGGGCTGGGCTGGGCACGGGGCTGGGCGCTGGGCTGCCTGCCAGGCTGCAGGGCAGCGAGTCGCTGGGCGAGGCGCTGCGGGCACCTGGGCGCCGGAGCAATTCTGGGCGGAAGTCAGGGTGGCGGCGCGCGTGCTTGGTCAGGTGGTCGCTGCGGGTGAAGCGCTTGGTGCAGAGCGGGCAGGGGAAGCGCTTCTCGCCCGTGTGTGTCCGGTGGTGGCGTGCCAGCTCATCTGAGCGTGCGAACTTCTTGTCGCAGCCAAGCCAGTCGCAGGCAAAGGGCCGCTCACCTGCAGGGAGGCGGAGAACAGGGCATGGTTAGTGGGTAGCCATCAGACGTCAAAGGGTCCCCGGCCTCTGTCCGACCCTGGCCCCAAAGGCCGGCTTCTGGCTGTGGACTTAAGCACGCCAAGGAAAGACCCCACTCACTTCACGTGTTCCTAACAAACACCCCCTTTTATTTCCCAAGACCCGCAGTAGTCACACCACTGAAGCAGTTTCCATCGTTTAAAGGAGACCCAGAGGGGCCTCCCTGGTGGTACAAGGGGTTAAGACACAACCTATGAAGCTGTCCGCAGCCTCTGCAGCACGAGTTCCCTCCCTAGCCAGGGAGCTACCCACATGGCAGAACTCTCCTGACTCGCCCCCTGCTCCCCTCAGCAGCGTATTTCAGTAGATCTGCCTGTTCTGTTCCCCACTGTGCCTCTGGTGAATCCTCTCACCCCCTGCATCTCTGACCTGTACCTCAGCTCTTGTATGCATAAATTTAAAAAATCTTTAAAAAAAAAAAAAAGAAGAAGACCCAGAGGCCACATTAATAGGCTGCACACGCACGCTGGCAGGGCTTCTCCCCCTCTCCTGCAGCTTAATCTGACCTGACCCCAGTTTAGTACCATCTTTGGAAATAACCACCTGGGGCACAAAGGGGCAGAGGGCAATTGCTGACTCCTGTGGGCACAGGGACCGGTGCGGGGCTCGGGAGACCGGGAGCAGCAGCCCTGCATGTCCCATCCAGGGCGCTCAGCGTGGGGAAGGGTCGACCGCGGGCCACAGCTCAGGGAACGGGGTGGGGGTTGGGGGCCAGAGGCCTGGGGATGCCCCGCCCCCACTGAACAGATGGTGCCAGCACCAGGCAGCGGGCACCACCCAGCAACTTCCTCCGCAGACCCCTCCCATCACCCTCGCCCATCCTGCTCCCAACCAGACCAGCGGCCACCCCAGCCTGCCAGTCGCACTTGCCAACCCCTGAGTGCTACCTCGCCTGACCCTCTATCTAATGGAGCCACAGTCCTGTAGATGTGTTATCAGGGCATCCCCCACTGGCTGAGGGTGCCAAGGGGCCTCGCCGAAGTTCCTCTACACTAGGCCCCGCCACACCATGCTCCAGACCAAGGGCACATCTGCCCGCAGCTGGTATCCTGGGCCGGTCCTCGAGTCCTTATTTGCCAGGGGCTCTGAAGGGCCCTGAAGCCCATGCCACCCCCCTAATGGTGAAAGATGGAATACAGACTAGGGAGGGAACAGGTAGGACAGGGGGGGAGCTGCCAGGTTGGGGGGTGTCACCACTGGATCAGGGTAGGTACCTCAAGGGTTTGGGGGCACTGGGGGCAGAGGTGATCCAGGACAACTTGGTCAAAAGAATACACCCACCTGCGGCAGTGGGTGCTACAAGGACAGAAAAGGATCCGTCCCCCCAAAGTCAGCTAAGGCCCCCAGGCCAGGCAGGAGACAGGTAGTGAAATGCAGAGGTAGACTAGGAGCCAGGAGGGGCAGAGGCGGAGAGGGAGATCAGGGCCCGGGTAATGGAGGTGATCTCATGACATCTCTAGTCCCAAAAGGAGATGGAAGAACAATCCCCAGCACCACAGGAGTTCAGAGGTCCACACCTCCCCCCACCCCAGAGGTTTTCTTGGGGGCCACCCATGAGTCATGCTCACAAGGACTGGCTGGAGGGGTTGTCAGCCCAAGTGTCTAAAGAGAGATGCTGGCGCCACTGCCACGGGGTGGGGGACCACAACTGAGCAGTGGGGACAAGGGATCAACGGTCCCCAAGACTGTAGGGCCGTCCCTGGGGCTGCCCCATCCACACTCCAGAAGGCAGGGTCAGCAGGACCTGGGGGAGGGGTCAGAGCAGCCCAGGATGGAACCCCCAAAACATCCTTGCAGTGACCACAGGGATCTGATGGCTCTGCAGGATGAGTGTGGGGGAGGGAGCCTGGTTTGGGGATGAAGATGGGGTCTGAGATGCAGCTTAGAGGCACGCAGTCCTGTCACCATCTTGCAGGGCAAGTTGGGGGTATGCCCTGCTGTGGCTGAGTCCCCGCAGCACCCTTACTTCCCCTTATAGAGTAGTGTGGCTGGTCCCCGCTCCCACCCTCCCCGCCCCAGGCCCAGCACCCGCCAGGCAGGACACCAGGCTGGGAACACAGCTGTTGCACGTACAAGTAGCTGGGTGATGGGGACATCCTGCTCACGTGGTTCCCGCCGGGGCCAAGCACCAGGCGGGGGTCCCGGCCTGGCAGCCTGCCAGCTCCACCCCTTGCCTGGTTGCCGGGGAGCACCAAAGCACACGTGGGCGGCAGATACCCAGGTGCAGACTTCCTGCCCCCACACCTGCAAGATGCCAGGCCCTGCCAAGCTCTCACAATACACACTCTGAGGAGGCAACATTGGGGGCTCAAAGCTGGGGGAGAGCCCAGGTGAGGCCGCTGGGCTGTTCCTGGCTACCTGCGGGGCTAGACAACAGGGTGAGCAGGGCCAAGGTGGACTTGATCCTCTGGCCTGGGCTGAGCTGCACAAGCTCGGGACAGGAAGGTTAGCCCCATGGTGCCGCCAGACACAGAGAAACAGAGAGCAAGAGTCCTGGAGACAGGTTGGGTGTACAGCCCCCCCCCCCAGCCGCCAATCCTCGGCCTTTGTGGGGAGAGTACCCCATTCCTTGGACTAGGGCAGAGGTCAAGGGCTGTGGCTCTGACGCTAAGCTTCACGGGACCTCCTGGGATCACCCCACAGGGGTAGAGAGGAGGTGTGGCTGGCAGCTGGAGCCTGCACCAATGCCCCCCACCAGGTGGAAGGCACCAGGGAGGGGACAGGCAGGGAGAGCCAGGGGACACTGGGGTTGCAGCAGGTTGTGGGGGGGGGTGCGGGGAGGTGTAACAAAGGACTTCAAGAACCCAAAGGACAGTCTTGGGCAGCAGAAATGATGGTGAGGCCAGACAGCAAGGAAGGGGTCCCCTGTGGTCGGCTGTCCTGATGGCTTTGCAAAGACAGCCTGTGAGGGGCTGTGATCTTAAACACCCCCAGTCCTGCCCCCACAAACCCAAGGCTATCATCAAGATCACCCCACAAGCCTCTTTGCTCTCACCTCAGGTTTCTCCACACCGCGCCACATCCCCCCCTTCTTGTCTCTTCAGTTCTGTCCCTGTTCAGTACACCACCTGTCTGACAGGCCTCTCCTGGCCCTGGTGTCCCCCCACACTGACCCCTGGGTTGGTCCTTTTACTACCCTGTGCTCAGCCTCCAAACACTTGCATGCCCTGGGTGTGACATGTCCCGGTACCCCCTGCAAACTGAGGGCAGAGGGTGGTACCCCGTAAGTACCTGACATATACCTGTGAGTCTACAGGCTCACACATCTGCTCATCCATACCCCACCACCAGCAGGAGCTAGCACTGCTCCCACAGATTTGAAGGGAGTTCCTACAGCGCCTCATCCCTCCCTTCTAGAGGGACAAGGCTGCCTGGCCAGGACAGCACCCAACTCATCCTCCACCTAGACTGGCATCTTCAGGAGGCGGACACAGCTCCCCAGGTGCCCCAGCACATGAGTTTCAGGGGCCTGCTGTCCTGGGAAGAGCACTAGGGGAGGGAGGCGGCGCCTCACATTGGTATCATCCACTAACTCGACAGCCATCTGCACCAGCTTTATCAGGGAGCCTGACCGGTGGGGGGTGGTTATCGCCCTAGCAATGTTGGGGGAGCCCCAACAAGCTGGGGCACAGGCACCCTACCCACTGAAAGGGGGGCGAGGTGGGGAGGCCGTCCCTGGGTACCAGCCAGTACTTCAAGGCCACCCCTGCCACTCCCTGGGCTTGGCAGTCCCCCACCTTGGACTCCCAAATATGCTACCAGTGTCCAGAGTCCCACCAGATCTTAACGGGCTCACAGATGCGGGGGAAGGGCACGGGGTCCTTTGCTCACTCACACATCCCTGTGATGGTGTTAGGGCTCTATAACAATGGGAGGAGGAGGGACTGGTGGCACTTTATCCTCTGAAACTCATTTTCCTGATGGGGTTTCTCCTCCTGGCCACTCTTCACCACACAGCCCCCTCAATCAGAAAACTGGGGGTCACCCTAGCCTCCTCCTGCCCCCTCAGTCAGGAACCATTCCCTCCCACAAAGCAGCAACTTCTCTCCAAATCCCTTCTCCATAAACGGATTTTCCTCTGCAAAGCCTCCCTTGCCTCCACACCCACCCTACTCCACCCTGCCCTCAGGATTAAAGAGAACCCTTGCCTGCTCTGCCCCCCACCCCACTTCCTTCTCAAAGCCCAGGCCAGTCTCTGCCCCCCATCCCCTGCAGCCAGGGTGCAGTCCCCACTCTGAACACACCCTAACCTGCCCCACCTGCCCCAAAGGTTCAGGTTTCTGCAGAGAGGGGGCTCTTGCTCCAGAAAGCCTTCCATCAGTTGCTGCCGCCACCTCCCCACCCCCCACAAGGTTGCAGGAGGCCCAGGGGACAGGGACTGGATTGGCCCATTCCACTGTGCTTTGTATACAGTAAATGCTCAACTACTGTCTCTCAGATTTAAGTAAATGTGGTTTTAGAGTAAAACAGGGAGGGGGGGAACATCTTGCCCCCCAGAGGATACTAGGTCATACTCTGGGGACATCTGTGGTTGTCTCGACTGGGGGGTGCTGCAGGCACTGAGTAGGTGGGAACAGGCATGCTACTCAACACCCCATAATGCCAAGGACAGACCCCCCCCAGAGATGAGCCCCCTCCCATGTCAGCAGGAGATCTGGACTAAAAGCTCCATTTTCCATTGGAGCTCCCTCTTGGGGGGAGAGAGCAAAAGCCCCCAAGAAGGCTCGGCGCTGACTGCATGCTGGGCACTGGGGAGCAGGGGGAGCAGTCCAGAGGCGGAGGAGGTTGGGAGAGCAAGTAGACAGCAGCATCTCCTCCGCCCCCGCCCCATCTCCTCGCTCTCACTTTGGTATCCATGGTAACAGCGTCAACATCTCCCGCAGCTTTCAAAGTCCCGCCCCTTGCAGGAAGCTCCTTGCTGGGCCAGAGGTTCCTGGCCAGACCCGGGGGGGGGGGGGGGGGGGGGGGGCACAGGACAGCCTGCCTCGGTCCCCCTGTGGCTGGGTGGCCCAGGGACAAAATCCCACAGTCCCTCCCAACTTCCCCACCACCCTTGCCAGTGGAGCAGGGATGATGGGGTACCTCACCCACTGTATCCCTGGGTCTGTCACCAACAAGCCTTTGGACACCCAGGACAGGTATGGCCTTCCCCACCCCTCAAACAGACCCCTGGGAGCCAGAGAAACACCAAACAGGCAGTCATTAAGCAGAGAGGTGTCCAAAATCCTCCAAAACAGAAGCTAAGGTGCCCAGGACCAGAACGTCTGCTCTTAATTCAGAGTCCAGGGGCCGTGCCCCCTCCCCCCCGCCCCCACTATTATAATGGGGATTATGGGACAGGGCCGCCCCCTTGGGGTCAAAGGATTGTGGTTTTTCCCTCACCCAGTATCTGTCCCCACTCCTGAGACACCTCTCCCACTGACCTCTCGGGCCTCAGTCTCTCCTTTAGAAAGTGAGAATGGCAACACAGACAAGGGGCCCTGGACCATGCTGCCTTGGAGAGGCAGGCCGTGGCCACCCACTCTGGAGGACAGGGGCTCGGGAAGGAAACATTCACCCACCCCAAACAGCATCTGACAGTGATCAGAAAGTGGGCAGAGGCTCCAGGGCCCAAGGGGGGGGAGAGGCAGGGACACTGCTCGCCTCTTCCCAACTCTGCTCCCCTCCCTAGACCCTGCAGTGGGCCTAGAGCGCTATGAGGTGTCTCCCCACCATGTGGCCAATCCTAATATCCCGTACCCTCTCCACCTGCCCACAAGCCCCTCAACAGGAAGGTCACGTTTCCTGTTCCCTTTATGCAGATGGAAAAACTAAGACCTCAAATCCTGTGCCAGACACAAAGGTCCAATGCACCCCCACATTGCCCCAGGTCCCCAGCCCTGCTGCCATGCCCTTCCACAACGGGGCAAACACCTCCAATTCTCAGTCCCAGGTCGGTCAGCAGGACAGGCTTCAGGTCCCCTATTTCAAACTCCCGGCCTGCAGCAGGCCCCCCATGGACCGAGCGAGGTCCTACGTGGGGGGGGGGGGATGAGGGGCGGTGGTGACCACGGAGGGAGACCTGCCCACCCACCTCTCTGCGTCTTGGTTCCCCTCGGCGCCCCCCAAGGGGACCGTGTTGCTAGAAGAGGTGATAATGTAGCGAGCCCTCCCCTCCCACCCGCGCACCTGCCAGGCCCCGGTGGCAGGGGGGCAGGGGGGGGAACGAACACAATGAGGCCCTGACTCCCTCCTGCGTCTCCCTCCGAAACAGCCGCTCCTCCCCAAACTCAGGCCCCGACCCCAACTGCCAGCCCAGCCCACCGCCCGGTTAAAACACAGAAGGTAAAGAAAACGTGCCGGCCAAGCCCAACCCTGGCCCCGAACCCGGCGCTCCGCCGCCGCCAGGGGTAAACCCTCGCCGCCACCCCGGAGGCGGCGATGAGGCTCCTCCTCCGGCTCCAAAGACAGGGGCGCCGAGGCCGGGAAGCCGCAGCCCGAGGCCAGACGCTCCACCAGGGCTCACGCGAGCGCAACAGAAAATAAAAGAGAAAGCAGGCCGCGGGGGAGGGGACGCGAGGGCCCGACCCCGGCGCCGCGCGCCCCGCCAGCCTCCCGCGCGCCGCCAGACCGCGTGGCCGCCACGCCCCCCGCGCGCGCCCCACCCACCAGGCCCCGCCCGCCGGCGCGGCGCGGCCAGGGCGCGCCCCCCTCCCCGCCCCCCGCGCGCCACGCAATTTCGGGGTCCCGGCGGGGGAGGGGCCCCGGAGGTCGCCCCCGCGCGGGCCGGCGCGCGGCCGGACTCACCGGTGTGCGTCCGCAGGTGCGACTTCAGGTGGGAGGACTTGTAATACGCCTTGGCGCAGCCCGGGAAGGGGCAGCGGTGGCTCTTGGCGGCGGCGGGCGCGGCGCCGGGGGCGCGGCCGGAGGACGGGGACGAGGCGGCCGAGGAGGACGAGCCGGGCGAGGCGCCCCCCGGGGCGGCGCCGGGCCCGCCGCGCAGGTCGGCCAGGATGCTGGCGGCCAGCAGGTGGGGCGCGGCGGCGCCGCCCGGGCCCGGGAGCGGGGAGGCGGGGGGCGGCGGCGGCCCCGCGGGCCCGGCCGGGGCGGCCTCGCGGCGCGGCGCGCGCACATCCAGGCCGGCGGCGGAGCCCGCGCCCTCGGGGCCCGGCCGCCCGCGGTGCACCACGGCGCCCGAGGAGATGGCCATGAGCACGTCGGCGGCGAAGTAATCCACGCACGCCACGGCCGCCGACATGCCGGGCAGGGCACGCGGGGGCTCGCGCGGGCGGAGAGGAGGCGGCGGAGCGGCGCCCGTCCGGCCGGCGGCGGCTGCTGAGAGCGGGAGGAGCAGGAGGAGGAGGAGGAGGCCCGGCGCGCGCCGCGCCGCCGCCGCCGCCCGCGCTCGGCCCGCCCCGCCCCGCCTGACGCGCCCTGACGCACCGGAGCCCGCGGGGGCGGCCGCAGCCCGCCCCACCCGGTGGACGCCCCTTCGGGGCGCCGCGGCCACGCCCCCCCGGCGCACCCTCGCCCCGGGGCGGGGCCCGGCCGGGGGCGCCGCCCCGGGCGCGCCCACTGCGGCCCGAGCGCGCCCGCCCGGGCCCGGACGCCCCGCGCGCCGCGCCCCGCCCCGCCCCGCGCCTCCTCTCGCCCCGCGCCGGGAGCGCCCCCTCCTCAGCCGGGGGCCCCGCCCGCCCCCGCGCAGCCCGCCCGCCCGCCCGCCCGCCCCGGGCGCGCCCCGCCCCGCCCCGCCCCGCCGCTCCCCGCCCCGGCGGCCCCGCCCCCGCGCGCCCCACCCCCTCGCGGCGCGCCCACCCCGCGGCCGGGCGCGCGGTCGGCGGGAGCCCGCCCCCCCGCGCCGCCGCCGTCTCCGCCCGGCGCGCCCCCGCTCGCGGTGGGGGAGGGCACCCCACGTGGCCCGGGCGGGGGGTGGAAGCAGCCAGCCCCGCCCCCCGGCCACGTGCGCGACCCTCCCCCCTCTCCGCCGGCCCGGGCTGGGGAGACGGCGCCCTCGCGCCCCCCTCTCCGGGGGTCCCGACCTCGCGGGGCCCCGCGGGGCCCCCCGGCCTAGGCGCGGGTGCAGCCCGGCTGGGCGCGGGAGTGGGGCGCCCGCCCCGCCGGACCTGCCGCGCCCTCGTTCCTCTTTTCGCCCCTCTTGGGAAGTCGCCGCGCGTGTCTCGTGGGGGAGGGGAGGGCCGGGGCCCAGCATGGAGGGGGGCCTCGAGGAGGGCGGGCGGGACCCGGGGGTCGGGCACTTCGGGTCCCGGCTCCGGGCCGGGGCCCTCGGGCGGGAGCGCGAGTCGAGCCTCGCGAAGCCCCGCGCGCGTCCAGGCCAAGGGGACGAGCTGCCAGAGCGGCGGGCCCGTGGGTGCCCAGAGCGGGCCCGGCGCGCGGGGCCCGGGCCCGGGGGCGCGAGGCGGGGAAGGGGCTCGCGGAAGTGGGGAGCGGGACGGGGTGACGGGCGGCGCCCTCCGCGGCGACCACGCCCCTGCCCCTTCCCCGGCGGGCGGCGGGGGCCGTGCAGCGGCCGCAGCAACCTCTAGGGGGCGGGGCTGCCCGGCAGCGTCGAGTTCCCTCAAGGGTTTCTGTCACTCAAGCCGTCCTGGGCTGGGTGCAGACAGTGCCTGTCACCCTGGACTTGGCCTCATCTGGGGGGGGCGGGCCTGCAACCTCTGCGAACTGACCCGCCCCGGCTCAGCCCCTGTCCCCAAGCTGGCCACTCCCACTCCCCCTGGGTCCTGGTCGCCTAGGCCTGTAGTCCCTGCCGGTGTCAGCCTTCTCTGGGTGCCCCTGTTGGGTGTCCCAACAGTGCGCAATATCTGCTACACTCGTAGCTGACAAAGGAAAGCAGAGGGGCATGCAGTGTTCAGGTTCGAAGATGCAGTGCAGCCGCATGGGTTTCCTTTGACAGCATTGTCCTGGTGGCACTCAGGGCATTGGCAGCCCGGGCCTCCTGAGCCTTTGAAGGCCTGGGAAGATGCACCATCTGGGCAGGACTCCAGCCCCTCACCATCTCAGCAGCCCTCAGAGCCTCTCCTTCCCCACCCCACAGCCCTGCAGGATACCCACAGCTCAGCCTCTGCTCACCACTCAGGGGCGGCATCCAGACTTGGAAGAGGCAGGAAGCTCCTTTCCACACATAGGCGCCAGGGCAGGAAAGATACCGACTTATCATTGTACCAGTGTGGGCAGCACTCCCAGTGGCCCTCTAGAGGCTCAGTCTGGGGCAACGTAGTTGTTGGGGAGTCTTAATGGCACAACTGGGCAGGCACAGACCTGACATGGGTGGTGTCCAGGCCGGACTTTCAAGGTCAATCCCTTTCTTCAGACCAGTGTCCTCACTTGTAAAATGGGAGCCATCCCGACCCTTTCCTGACAGCACCGAGGGGCTCCAGAGGGCTCCTGCCAGGCCCCACCTGCTGGACAGAGGCAGGGGTGGCAGTGTCTTCTTTTTTAAAGACCATGAAGACTTTACTTTTTGTTGGAATAGTTTAATAGTACTTTTTGCACAACTTTTTTCATATTCCATGTTATGTTGGTTTTCTTTAAATGTCAGTAGGTATCTGCGTTCTATGTGCAATTGTGGACTATTTGTCCTTTTTTACATTTTTCTGTACAAAAAAAGTTATGTCTTTAATAAATGCCCCCCTGCCAGGTGTGGGCAGGACTCAAGACAAAGCAGAGAAAGGGGAGATGGCAAACAGACCAGGGGTGGAGGGGTAAAGTAACCTTAGCCAGGAGTCAACCTCAGGAGAACATCAGAGGTCATGCGGGTGTCAAGGACCCCTGAAGGGATGTGGTCAGGACACCCCACCTGTGTGTGCTGTAAACCCACAAACCTAGTCTGATTATGAAAAAATAAAAGGGCCTACTAGGGGACATTTTGCAAATTACCAGACCAGTCCTCAAAACTGTCAAGATCATGAAAAACGAGGGAAGCATGAAGTGTCGATTTGAAGAGACTAAAAAAGTCCATGACTAAAGGCCACGTGGGATTGGGAACAGGAAATGGTATTGGTGGAAAAAAAATGAATTGGAATAAACCCTGGGGCAGCATTAACGGGGACGTTCATGAGTCAATTCCTTGGTTTCCACAAGATGCTGGACGCTAGGTGAGGGGGAGGTAGAACTCTGCTGTCTTTAACTTTTCTGTAAATCCCAAATGATGCCAAATGAAAATTTTAAAAACAAACGTGCAGAGTGGGTGTCGTCAGTGACAACAACCATGCCAGGATGGCAGCAGCTCACATTGACGGCTCTGTACCAAGCATCAGAGTTGCACCGCCCTGCACGTAGTTTATCAATGCTTTAAGTGTACCCTTTGATGTACGCTGTACCCAGCAATTCCACTCCTAAAAAGGTACCCAAAGACTGTTCATAAGGAGGCAGTTGTGTCTGCATCGCTGCACTATTTGTGATGGGAGAAAAGAAATGATATGAGTTACCCAGTTTTGGGGAAGCAGGACACAGGATGGAGGGGCAGGTGGGCAGGGCCACAACCATTCTGTTTTCACCTGATAGCACATGGTCACTTCTGCCAGCCAGCCAGTTCACAGCAATTACCTCTGGAGGGGAGGCCAGGAGGAGCTAAGGGCGGGGGTGGGGGTGGGGGGTCAGAGGTCAGGAAATGGACCAGTGCAACTGCCTGGCATGGAGCTATGTCTATTTTGATTACTTACCTTAGACCATCAGGTCATCCCTCAAGGGAGGATGAGCAGCCAGGAGAACTCAGGGTGAGACAAGGGATACCAGCCCAGCAGGGGCCCTGGGCCAGGCCTGGCTGGACAGCGGGCACGTGGCTATCTTCCCCTGCTTGGAGGACAAGGAGGTTATGGTGCTGGCAAGCCGGCACAACAGGCTAAGTTGGCCTGCCGGTCATACCTTCAGGACTAGCAGCCCTCTGCTAGGAGCTGCTGGAGGGGACCCTGGGCCCCCGTCCTTAATCCAGGGAGGCGGCAGGATTGGCCCTCACCAGCTGGGTGTTCACTTGTTCCCTTCCATTTGGGAGATCCTTCCCCAGAGCTCCTGCTCATCTTGAGCTCTACCACAGGTCCAGACCCCTGGGAATGGTGGCTCACAGACACCATTCAGAGGGCCAGTGGCAAAGGGGACATCTGCCAGGCTAGCAGGTACACCCACACATGTCCATGCTCCTCTGGTGCCCACGTGATCTGCTAAAGAAATCTGCTGAAATCCACTTCAGGGTCCTCCAACTAGAACATGAGTCAGGGCTCTGCCAGGTGGGGTGGGCTACAGAGCACAGCCCACTCAGTTCCCAGCAAATGACTGCAACCAGGCCCTGTCCCCGAGTCTCAGTTGCACCTGCCCATGCAATGGGCACTCCTGCTTCTGGCCTTTGCCCACCCAATGCTAAGCTGGCATCTGGGGTCAGAGTTCACCACCCCACAAAACCATACCTGTGTCCCAAGACCATCCAAATCCTGAGCCCCTCTGCTGCCATGGAAGGGAGATGCTGGGTGCCAGGACCCAGCACCCCTGTCTGATGGACTCCCTGGTTAACTGAGCACCCTGACCATGAAAATACAGACAAGGGGCCTCCCTGGTGGTGCAGACGGTTGAGCACGGGGCTATAGAGCTGTCCACAGCCTCTATAGTGTGGGTTTGATCCCCGCCGGCCAGGGAGATGCCCACATGGCACAGCAGACCTCTCCTGTCTCGCCCGCTGCTCCCCTCAGCAGTGTGTTTCAGTCAGTCTGCCTGTTCTGTTTCCCGCTCTGTCTCTGGTGAATCCTCTCACCCTCCACACATCTGGCCTGTACCCCGGTTCTTGTATGCATGAATAGATAGATCTTTAAAAAAAAAAAAAAAAATACAGAGAAGGGCTTGCCCCAGAGGAGTTACCCACACCTCAGCTCAGGATGCTTAGTGCCCTGAGGGGTAGTAGCCATTGCTGGGCAATCACTCCTCACACAGCCACAGCCACCAGGGCAGAGGAGGGGTCAGAAGCACCATCCTTATCCAGAATTCTGTTACTCAAAGTTCACAGGGAGATGGGCAGCGTTAGTGGGGTACATTCCACTAGTTCAGCTTAATGGGATGATGAAGCCAAGCAGGGGCGTCCGAGGAAGGGATCTTCCTAGGTGCTGGGCACCTAGCAAGGAGTCGGTCTGTGCTTACAGATCAGGCCCCAGGAGAAGAGGCCTGGAGTGAGCAGCACCCACACTTAGGCTGGCCAACTACACATCGCACCTCCCTGCTACCAACACACACCAGGCAGGTCCTGCCCCGGGTCTCTAG